TAGGAGTCAACTAACTGGGTGCTTCCTTTGGAGTCTGAGTGCATCTGCCCTGGTGGCAAGGAGTAACCAACTGTACACAAATAAACCAGTAAAATGGAGGCACATGCAAAACTCAGGCCCTGGCATAAAGCCAAAGTCCAAATGAATGAACGACCAGGACTTCCCCCAAAGCTTACAGCCGGTGAACAAAGAAGAAGAAGAAAATATGAGATACATGTATTTCAGTCAAAGGCATTAATTGTATTTGATTCATTATATGTTAAAGTATGTTTCTTAGACAAACCAGACTTTCTTTCTGTTTGCATAATATAGAATATAATTATCTATGTGTATTGTGAATGCCCAAGCACATGCAGTGAACACCAGACTGTTACACACATTTTAAAGTAAACTTTTCTTTTGGCTGTAGAATGCATATGTGATTTGAAAATGTCCAGGTCATAAATCGTGCATTATATTGTTTGTGTCTGCACTACTTAAAATATGTAATAAACATTTACACAATTACAATAACTAAAGCTACACAACATTTTCAGTCAGTCTGAAATAAATATTAAATCTTGTTAAATATCTTCTTCTTTATTCCTCTTTCAATAAAAATGCATTAAACCGTTTCACTACTTTCATGTTTCACATAAAAGGTAAAGTCGGGAGATGTGAACCAGCGTCATTGCACACGGCTATAAACTATAAGTGCTCTGCCACCAGTACAGACAGCCGATAAGAATTGTCCGCCTGTGTCGCCATTCGCACATAACTCTGTAGCTACAGCGACGTTCCTCCATTTACTCCAGAGTGTTAACTCTGGTACCCATTTCCTAGAGGCTGGGTGAACCCCGGGAACCGCCCGGTTTCGAACACTGACCGTGGGCTGCAGCGAGTCGCAGCTGGATTTAAAAGCGAGCCTCTTATCGACTCCGCTAACGCAGCTTCCTATAAGAACTTGTAGACAGGAACAAGATCATTCTGGAAATGCTGACTGCTGTTGCTGGGACTGTACTGGCCAGCATAAGCTTTATACAATGCAGTAAAACAGTCACAGAGCTTATGTAAATAGCTATAACACAATGTTTTGGCATTTATGCCTGCACTTTGGTTATTTTAACTAAATACTTGTGAGAATAAATTAGCTAACAACACACCAATTATGTAAATAATTGAAGCCTGCGCATGACAATAAATAAGCCAATATATAACATCATATGTCTTCATGCAACAGCAGACCATTTTCTTCCTTAATTACATACATTGATTTATGTCTATTTTTTTCTGTCAAATGTAGGAACTAGTTTAATTTCCTTTCTTTTCAGATCTAAAAAAAAACATCAGTGTTTAATCAACTGTAGTATCATTCTTCTGAAAACTGTAGTAGTATTCAAATCATTAATATCCTGTTCAGTCCTTCTAGATTATAATTTGGAAATATCAAACCTACTGGACATTTTTCTCAGCTAATCGAAGTATAGTTTTCTAACTGAAACATTAGTTTTTTAATATTGTATCATGTTTTGAGACTTTTATCGGTTGATACTTTATTACACATCCTCCTGAAAGCAGATCATCACCACAACAATAAAATTACTAATAGTATTCACAATATAAATTGTAACAATGGCATACTTCACAAAATTGGTCTAGTTAACATAAATCACCAGTCTGCTTCACAGTGGAAGTTCTGGTAGCAAAGGAAGTCACTAGTAGAATGCTACTGTAGATATTTGTAGTACTTGATGCAATGGTTCCCTGAGTCGGCCACAACTGCCACTCCCTGAGATGTTACTGCGAGTCCTTGTGGTCCATAGAGTGGCTCACTTGCTGTGTTGACAAATGTCAAAAATGATCCACTGGCATCGAAAACCTGGAATAGACAGAGTGAAGGGAACAAAACAGTCAGTATGTTAATCTCAACACACTACTAGCAGATAATAACATTCTAACTGCATACACCCACCCAAACTGGACTTAAGTGAGCTTTGAAACCATTCTCTAGTGCCCCAGTACAACTGTGCTGTATGCCTATATGGTTGAATAGAGTTTGCAGGATTAGTACCTATTTGATTCTCATCACTGAGATGTTAATCCTTCAGACTAGTCCTCGAAGGGAACAAAACTATTAGGGAAAAAAAAAACATTAGGATAAGCAGTTAAGCAATGAGTTTGTCCCATTTGGGCTGCTACCTAAAAGATTACCATGCCATCCTTGAGATTTACGAGTCTTGATCTTGAAGACCAAGAAGGCAGATCCAAGACACCATGTTCAGCCTCCATAAAAGTTATAATTAGTGCACCTGTAACGGTTAGACCAGGTACATGTTACCTGCAGGTAATGATGTTAGCACAAACATTTTGTTACTTTATATACTGGGGTCTCAGTGGTAGAGTGGTTAACCTGGCTGTCTTTCAGGATCACTAAGGGTCATCACTGAAGCTATGGGGTTGTGTGCTTTGTGTGGTTTTTGCAGGGATGTGTAGTTCTCCATAGAGAGAGACTTAGACACAAAGAATAATACACGGTGGAATGAAGTTGATCCTTTCATCTTTAAACTTTTTATTGCAGTTAACCTTTGGAGACGGAGCCTTTTTGGAGTGTCAAAAAGTCAGAGCCTTCAGGAGTGGTTTCTCTTAGTTTACACGCAACAAAGTTTAAAAAATATAGCCTTTAATTAATATACAGAAAACTATATATATATATATGTTTGTATATGTATATATATATATATATATATATATATATATATATATATATGTTTATATATATATTAGGGCTGTACCGAATAGTGATTTTTACTATTCGGCCGAATACGAATAGTGGTAACAACTATTCCGCCAAATATGAATACGAATAGTGTATCATCACCATCAGGTACCTTGACGACTGGCGTGAGCGATTATGCCACAATCTCCTGCAGCATGTATCAGTTCGTGTGCTGACACACCTCCATGCCATGCAACAAGACTGTCAAGAATCTTATCTCGTTGTCTTTCCCTATCCCTCCTTCCACAGATCTTTCCAGTGGTCACAACATGTTCCATTTCCCCTCTTCCCATAACATGGCTGAAAAATGACGACTGTCTCCTTCTGATATCTGTGATTAGTTAGTTGTCTTCAGGCTCCCGCCTCTTTCAAAACCATCGTTCGCTCGGCCGTTCGTTCGATGTAATTTAAACGCACCTTCATATTCTCGTTAGCAATATCTTTAAATTTGATTTGGGCGAAGACACCCTGAAAGAACGAAAAATGCATGATCTCTCTCTCTCTCTCACTCACACACACACACACACTGCGGTTGGCATTTTATGCAGTTTGTACCACACAACCGAGTAGCAGTTTTCCCCGCTACGACAGACTTAGGCAACAGCAACGATTGTGTTAATGAGAGAGTTATTTCAGTCCATCACAGTGTATGCAGAAACGGGAGTAAGGTAACCACTATTCGTATTCGGCCCGACCGCAACTATTCGGCGGAATACCGAATAGTTATTAGGTCCACTATTCGGCCCCGAAGCGAATACGAAGCGAATATTCGGTACAGCCCTAATATATATTTATACACACACATATTTATATATACACACACACACATATAAATATATATATATATATATATATATATATATATATATATATATATATATATATATATATATTTCTATGTATACACACATGGTGGCGTGCGTGGCTTAGGCGTTGCAAGCCCGACTCATAATCCAACATACGGCGATCGAAACCCACCCTGGCTGCGTGGATTTTTATCATGGTGTGGGGTGTCGCAGATCAACCCAGCCTAAAATGGGTACCATGATGGCTGTCCTGGGGAAGTAAAGACAGCCCAGTGTAATGCTGACCACATTACCCATCAAGTGCCGATTGGTGTGTAAAATTATGGGACACTCTTCCTATATACCCGATGCGCCTAAGGCGTGAAAAGGGATCTTTACTTTTACTTTACTCATATATACATGTAGAAAATTGAATAAGCTAACATAATATTTATAAATCAAACTTAAATCACAATATTTATTCAATTAACTATTCTGATTTGCATAATTTATGCAATAATTCATTTAAATATATATATATATATATATATATATATATATATATATATATATATATATATATATATATATATATATATATATATATATATATATATATATATATATATATATATATATATATATATATATATATATATATATATATATATATTTTTTTTTTTTTTATTTAAAAAAACTTGGGAACAAACATGGCAAATTTGAAATATTTTGGTGAATGTTTTGATGGATGAAGCCTGAATAATTCCTAACACTTGTGTTTTGGGAAGTAAGGCCAATGTAGACCCTTTAGAAACATGATTCTACTCCCTTTCTTGCTGTTTTAGTTGCTATGATGCAACAGTCCTTTTCACCATTGTTGGGCACAGGTAGCCCGACAAAAGAATTGATGTAAAACTACAGAATACATCAAACTTTCTCGAAAGCCATCACTGACCAACACACATGTGTAAGAAATGCAAGAACCAATCTGACTGTCTTTTTTGCTATTTAATGTTGGGCCGATAGATTAGCCACATCATCTCCAAAGGCTTAATGTATGGGGTGTTGACATTATAATTCCAATAATGCAGCATACAACATATAGGGCAATGGGTAGTGTCCCACTAGATGTCCACGGTGGCTACATACAACATATCAGGCAATGGGTAGTGTCCCACTAGATGTCCATGGTGGTTACATATAAGGAAATGGGTAGTGTCCCACTAGATGTACAGGGTAGCTACATACAACATATCAGGCAATGTGTAGTGTCCCACTAGATGTCCAGGGTGGCTACATACAACATATCAGGCAATGTGTAGTGTCCCACTAGATGTTCAGGGTGGCTACATACAACATATCAGGCAATGTGTAGTGCACTATTAGGTGGCTACAGCTGTTACATTTAACTTATAAGGTAATATATAGTGTATCTTTAGATGACTTCGATTACTACATACCTGTATTCTAGAATTACCCCAGTCTGCCACAAGCATATTACCCTTGTCATCAACAGCAACACCTGTAGGGGCATTAAACTGCCCATTGCCTTCACCATTAGAGCCAAAGCAAAATTTGAAGTTTCCATCTCTGTCGAAAACCTGGTAAAACAATATTCAAAAAGTCAGGTCTGTATCTGGTCTTGTAATGGTGGTGATGGCAAATAATGAGATGTGCAGAGGACACTGAGAATAGAACGTGTATTAAACATAAATAGCCCTAGAGAGCTGCAAGAAAATATGTAAATAATACATCACAAGGACAAACAAATATGTATAGGGGATCAGTATGGGAAGGCAAAGTAGTAGTAGTGGTGGTGGTGGTATTAGTAATCGTGGTGGTAGTATAAGTAGTCGTAGCAGTGCTGATAGTAGAATAACATTGCTTGAAGTTTTAAGTTCAAGATATAGTTATTCAAAGCTTAACAAAAATATTAGCCAGATATGTCAATGAAAAGGCATACGAGTCTTCAGTAAATGCATAATACAGATCATCATTTTTTGACTTATGGAAAAGACTTTGACCTCAGACTTCCAGCTGAACAAATCAAGCCACCATACTTCCCTTTTATAGCCAACAGACCTCAGTTTGAAGAAGTAGAACATTATTTGTGGTGTAAAGGTCATCACAAAGAGCATGAAAAAGTCTTGCGTTCAATGAGCTTGATTTCACTACTTTAAAAAAAGTACTTTCTTTGCATCGTTTAGATCCTGCAGCAAAGTTGTGGCTGCCAGGACCTGGCTGTGAATTACGCTAGAATGGTGTACGTTTAGATTTGAGAAACCAAAAACAAGAACCTATCATAACTGGAGCTTCCTCTAGACCAGTGTTTCCCAAAGTTGGCGCTGCTACAAGGAAGGTGGTAGTAGGCTCGATCAAATATGGGGCTGGGGGTGGTGGAATGCTCAGTGGATGGGGTGGGGGGAGAACAGTGGCTTGATCAAATTGGGGGGGGGGGGGTGGTAGGGATGCTCGGGAAAGGATGGGGGGAGTTGGTAGCAGCCTCAGTTTGTGTAGTGAGGTACTGAATGAAAATAAGACAGAAAGAGAGGGAGAGAGAGAGAGAGATAGAGAGAGAGAGATTTTGATAAGCTGTTTGTACCTTTCTCAATGTAGCATATCAGATTAAAATCACAATGATTGCCTAATTTTCAACAATAACAACAATTACAACAAAATTATTTTATATCAGATCAGATTCATCATTCTTATTAACACTTTTGGCACCAACCAACTCACCATATGTTCCTTGATCATTTCGTAGACAATCTTTGCTGCCTTCTGACACAGACAGTTCATCTAGTAATGCTTTGTATCATAATTATTAGATTAACTACTTTTGCCCCAAAATGTCTTTGCTGAACTTTTACAGGTTTAAGTATTTATTGAGTTTTAGCCCAAATCCTTGGAATAGGAGGAGGTAAAGTAATAATTACTTCAGACTGAAAGAGTTGAAGAATATGTTTTCTTTTGTTTTATTTTAATATTCACATAGTTCAATACTAAGTATAAGGATGATCTGAGCTGAAACTTAGACAAGCAGTAGTTTCTCTCACACAGCATGTATTTTTTAATAAGAGACTGTACCAATGATTTGACAGAATGTAAATATATAGTAACTTCAGCTGTACTGAATGTTTAGCTCTTCAGTCAGTAAAACAGATAGGGTGTCTCTCAGACCAATGTAAAACAGCGAAATGTTCTTAATGATTTAAAAAACTGACATTAGTAAATGTTGTCACTAGCAAGTCTCCAACACCCTGTCTGAACGAGAGCTTTACATAATCAATGCTAATCAATGGTTTCGTTGTTTAGACGGCTATCGTAAACACTACAGCACTACTACACTACTCCTGTCCGCTTCAAAAGTGAGTGGAGAAAGTAGAGAACTGGGCAAACAACTGAGGTCTAAAACTTTCACTAAGCTTTCCATCTTTCCAGACTTGAGTGTTATACTGTGTTATAGAGAGGGTAAAGAATCAAAGCCAATTAAGATCAGGGATGACATTCATCCTCTCCAGAGCACAAAACCTGGAGCATCATTGTAGAGGCCAGGTGTTACTCATGCAGAATGACCCCCTGATTGACCATTTTTGTTTAATCAAAATTAAAGGTGACACCAATACATTTGGAACAAAGCATGTTGCACAAGCTGCTGAATCATAAGAACAATGTCACCTGTCAGATCTGTCCTTATAGACCAACTTTTAACCATCGCTTTGAGCCCTGTCTGCCCTGCCATAACTATTTTCAGATTACATTTCCTCGTCCTAGAGTAAGTAAAGTCAGTCTTCTCCCCATACACTTCCCCCATGCGATGTTGTTGGTACAATGCGGAAAGACAGGTTTGGTTACGCCATCCAACATTATGTGACAACAGAGACAATACTACTGTTATATGGAAGCTCAGCATTATCAGTCTAAAACTAAAACAAACAAAACCTATTGGAACAGTAAATTTGCTTTCATCAACACAAAGAAATAATCTGATTAATTTTAGAAATCAACCAATATAGATCAGCCCACTTGGGGGATTGAGGGGCGGGGTGGTGGGGTACACTAGACACCAGGCTCACCCGTTGTGAACTTTACATGTGATCTTTATATTATCAACATTTTGCTTTATTATATTACAGGCAGTATCAATTCTTGGAAAATTATACACTTATGCTAAATTAAACATATATAATAAACTAAATTCTCCTGTGTTATGTAAACAACAAGATTATGAGATAAACTCAAAGTTGACATGGTGATCACATAACTGATCTTAAATTCCCAGTGGAGAGACGTGCAGTAACTTGACAATATAGTTTGTACAATTCTGTGTTTCATTATATGTTGATTTAAATCTGTCATAATGCACCTGACAAGATACAGTGAAGTATGGAACAATAAATTGTGTAAAGTATTCACTGCCCACATTATTTAAATTTACAATGGGAAAACATTAAAAATTAAATATCATAATAGTCTGGAAACAATAATGGAGAGTGTGGTTCCAGAAAGAAAAGACAGAAGTCAATCAGTGTCGCCATGGGCACAGAATATCAAGTTCCTGAGGCAGGAATGTTGGTAAGGAGAAGAGTAGATTTCCAACAGCCCGTTTTAACAACAGCCTTCTGCAAAAGACATGCTGATTAATGATTTGTCATCAATCTGTACCTATTTTTCTATTTATATGTAACAGAACATTCACACAAGTTCTGCTATCAATAATACATTTTTATTAGCACAACATTTCTCTAACTTTATAATATTGTTTAGCTGTCCAAGTTTGCCTACCTTGACACAGTGATTGTGAAAATCAGACACAATAATATCATTGTTCTCATTGATAGCAGCATAATGTGGGCCAGCAAACTGCTCATCCCTGTTTCCTCGGGAACCAAATTTGTGCATGAGTTTGCCATTGGGCTGGAACACCAGGATACAGCAGGATTTGTTGTCCACCACAATAATACGACCTTCTTTATCCACTGCTACACCTTTTGGTCCTTGAAGACGACCTACTCCAATGCGACTGAAAGGAAGTGAACATTAAAATATAGTAGTCAGTTGTTGAATGACTTAGGACCTGGGAAGTGATGCAAATTATGCATATAGTTAATTCTTCTTCTGCTGCTGTGTTCACCCTTAAATGGGCAGTTGTCACACTGTGCTATGGTTTACAGCTCACACTGTGCTAGGGTTTACAGCTCACACTGTGCTAGGGTTTACAGCTCACACTGTGCTAGGGTTTACAGCTCACACTGTGCTAGGGTTTACAGCTCACACTGTGCTAGGGTTTACAGCTCACACTGTGCTAGGGTTTACAGCTAGGTTGTGGTGATAAAATAAATAATACTCAGACCTGACTTTACAAGCTGATTCACAGTGGCATAAAATACCAAGACAGTACGAACTGCTTAAAATGATCTCAGATGTGGTGAATTTCTGTTGCGAAGAATAATCTGTTTATCCTCAGCAATTTTTCTTGCTTGAATTCTTATTTGGATAGAGGAATTTCTGATAAAAAGAATCATTTCTCGGGTCACTGGTGAATTCTTTTCAGGTCTGCACTTTAGTAAATATGTGACTCTGAATATCTAGTGTTACGGTTGTCAACATGGTGCTTATTATTATATGCAACTAGTCCCAAAGAGTCGATATATAACTCTAATAAACCCTCCAGCTGCTTATGTCTTCAGTAAATTTAAGAAAGAATTGTTAAATCAATTCCACTGTCATTATTTAGGCAAAGCATGCCCTGGTTATTTAGAGAATTTACCGTAGCTGTACCCTGGTACACCTAGGTAAGAGATTTCTCTGTGCAGGCAATAAGAAAAGTAGCTCATGACACCACCTTTTGAAGATTTATCAGACTGTGTGAAGTTATATAATTTATTATCAATGAGACAGTTGTGGATATGGAATTGACTCTTTAAAAACTAACAAAAAACATTCAGAAATATCACATGGCAGAATATTTACCTGATATATTTTCCATCAGGGCCGAAGACACTGATCCACTTATTGTCATAATCTGCTACCAGAAAATTCCCACTCTGACTAACTGCAACACCTGTTGGTCTCTGTATCTTCCCTGGTGCTCTGCCTGGGGTCCCAAATTTGAGGCGACATTCACCAGATGGGGCAAACACTTGTACAGCCTGGTTGTTGCTGTCTGCCACAATTACTCTTTCCTCATGATAACACACACCTTGTGGGTTGGAGAACTCTCCTGTTGAATGAGATCATAATGTGTGAACAAATGTTCTGAGCGCATAATATGTTTGAATTCTATACAGAAAATTATCAGAATGAAACAAGAAAAAAATGTTGGAGACTCTGGAATAACAACTTACTTATTTGGACAAAAAATAGTTTTCATTCACATTCTCTTGATGTGGCCAAGAATGATAACTGTTTCTTTTTTTTTTTTTTATGTCAATGATTGATGTTGCTTGTTTCCACATCTCATACAATATCTTATTTTCACGAACATACTATTTCTATTCTTCTGCAAAAACAAATTACCGTAGCTTAAAAGGATTTTCTTGCTTTTTCTCTGATTTCCCATGATTCACAGCCATATGTTAAAATATAAAATCACTTGTATACAACACTTCAGAATTTGTTTTCTAACAATGACAATTTTAAGTGCAAGGGAATTCACTCTGCATTTTCCAGTGTACTCTACAGAATATGTTTGCCTTAACCTTCGGCACCTTACCCAGTTATTAAATTAACCAGCTCTATCCGACATTGTTGCTGGAACTCCTTCTGTCATATTCAGTTACCTATTCTTACCCCTTTAGACTCTAGAACAATTATTTAACCCTCACACCCCAGGAACACTTTTAAAAAAAAGAGGTCATAACCATGTTGGAATTCCAGACAAAATCCTTAGAAAAAACCAACAACTTTACACAGATCACTAATAAATTAGGTAAAAATGTATCTGTTGATGTATTTATGTTTTTAAATTATTTATCCAAATGAAGGGAGTAATCAATAAACATAAACAGGGTGATGTATTGAATAGAATACATAACCTGGGTCCTAAAAACGTACATATATCATGTGACTCATGCCATGACCTGACGTGGGAAAATTGGACAATAGCTTTGTGTAAAATAAATTGTTAATAAGAAGCTACTTAGCTCAAAAGACACCACCCCCCTTCCCCCACACAATGCTATTTTTAGTTAATGTAGTCATATCCTGAGTGCCTAAACGTTTGTGTAGTGAAAACTGCCAAAATCCTTAACTATGCATCTTGTAAACATGTTGCTGTAGACAAGTTGGATAAGTGGCATTTACAAGAAGTGCCGGTTGTACAGCTTTTCAGGGCAAAAGGGTTAACGTAACACTTTTTAAGAGCCAGAACAAATTGAAATAACAACTGCTTTGGAAATAAAAAACTAACTTAATAAAATGCAGGTTGTACTCGATGCATTGCATTCTTTATTCATATGCAGACATGCTATTCAAACTCAATCAATGAGAAGACATTAATAGACATTATACACCTAAAGCTATCTCCACCATATCAGAGAAAGCAGGTTTAAAACAAAATACTTTCCAAAATTCAGGGATCTCCATGGTTAAGTGGTCAAGCCATTTGCCTTACACACTGAAAGTCGTAACTTTGTTTCATGGCTATATTGTTTGGTTCATGAGTGCAACTGTTATAGAGGCCCTTGTAGATTTTCACACGAGCTACAGTGTTTGTGCTTTCTATGATGCTCTTGGCTGGCAGTTAGCCACTCTAGGAAGAGAAACCAAGCTATCTGGAAAAAACCTGGGGCAATGAGGTCGATTCTCTTAACTTTAACCTTAAACTTTTCCCTTTTCCCACACTAGTATTCAACTATGGCTTTTAAACATACCTTTGTTCCGACCTTTCACCCCTATCCTCATAATAAGATCATCCTCAATTTTGTTGGTCCGCCTGTTGCTAGATCCTTGAGACCTGGAGCTGGAAGGTCGCTTGACTCCCTTCTGTTTGACTGCCATAGTTCTTGGGATTCTTTATGGAAATTAAAGACATTTAAAAGAAATAGTGAATGGTTAAATGCAATGAAAAAATAGTTAAGAAACTTTGATAGCCTAATTTTATTTTAAAAAACTGATTATGACTCAAAGATGCAGAAGAAATTAGAGGCATGAGTGTGTAGTTTTGACCTAATAACAGAGAAATGTATAGCTGTTGCGTATTTCTGTTTTCACTGAGATGCACTTTTCAAATCAACATTTGCTAATGTAACAAATAGCAAAAACTCCACAAACACAAAACAATCATAAAGGAGAACATATTCACTTGTAACAGTGCTATTCAACTGGCAGCCTGGGGGCCTAATCTGGCACTAAGAGACCTAGAATACTGCCCACGGATAACCTGCCATTTGTATCATATTCATAATCTTTCTAAGCTGTTGATCGAACCTCTAACCTTCAATAATCTCCATGATTTTCCAAAATTTTTGCCTCTGTGTAAACTTAGTTGAATGGCCCTGACTTATAATATCGTCATGAGACTCATGTCAGGAGTAGACCTTGGTAATTATGACTCCCACCTCTCACCCACCTCCTCCCCTCACCAAATCCCTTCTATTATTTGGTATTCTGATGGAGTTTGTATTACTTACTTATTGGACTTTTGAATATAAATGTTAGAGAATAATTCTCGGAAAGAATTTCATAAACGAAGAAGAGGAAAATACTGACATATTATAGTCAACATTCACTGTGGAGACAGCTCAGAAATTAAAAAAAGTCTAGCCACTATAATGACAGAGTCTCTCTCTTGAAAGCCACCTTTTCCATCTAATGAATGACTCCAGCTCACATAAGAGACTTAATCCACAACACAATTTTATCTAATATTTGTTAGTTATATCCCTTGCCAGTCCAACTTCTTTCTGGCTAGTAGCAGTTTCCTCTGTTCACATGTATCTCAGTGCTCCAACTAGCCAGACAGACGTGCAGATTTTTGTTTGGATAGACCTCAGTTAAAAAACTTTATGTATTTTTGTCTGTAGTTGTAACATTGTCTATTCGAGAGGCGGGCCCAACAGTTAGGAAATCTGGGCTCTCATGCAGGAATAAAAATGATATAAATAATATTCTAATCTGCACACCTATGAGAACAGCACTAGCCGTGCGGCCTGAAATCTTCAGCTAAAAGACCGACACCCTCCCTTAGCCTACACAACAATAGTGGTCAATACAGTGTGTAATGGCAAAAACAAGTGTGGTCAAGTTTTCGCTATCCTTCTTAGACATGTAAAGCCTGTATGATTTTTTTGCCAACTTTTTATAATTTTTGTGTGTGCCTTTATGACTTTTCTTGCGAACATAATTTTACTATCAATGCTGTATTACTAGAAACAAAAACCTGGCTAACTTATTAATGTTGGCAAAAGAATTTCAAATAATTTGCCAGTCTGGATATGTCATCAATAATATCACAGTATGTCTTTTATTTAATAGTGGCTGTGTGCTGTTCAAGTATAAAATACAAAGAAACAGTCACTGATTTTCATTTCAATTAGCTCCCAACGTGAATTCCAGGGCCTTAATTATAGGGAAAACAAGAATAGACCCACTGCCCATCCAAAAGCATGTCATAAGAGTCGACTAACTGGGAGCTTCCTTCAAAGTCGGAGTACATCTGCCTGAGAGGCAAGGAACCAGCAGTCTACATACAAATGAGTCAGATCTGTAAAACTGATGCACACACAATACTCAGGTTCTGGAACAGGACTGCAGTTCAGAAGTGGATGAACAACCAGAACTTTCCACCAGTTTACAGTTTCCATTAGCCTTTCTTACCTTGCAGATCCATTTCCATTAGCTTCTGTGGCTTCCACAGCTCTGATCTTGTAAGGGGATCCCTTTGTGTGTTGACCAAACAAATATACACTTAGGTAATACAGCCCAGCAGCCTGCATGACAAATGTAATGTCATAAGTTCCATTCTGATGGTCAGTGATAGTGGGAGTCAGCTTGTCCTCTGTTTGATCTGCCAGAAACAAGCAACATGGATTTCAGGAAACAAAGAAAGTAAAAGTAAGTAAAGGATCCTTTTCCATGCCTTTAGGCGTATAAGGCATATAGGGCTAGAACTATATTTTTATAGACCAATTGGCACAAGATGGGGGATGTGGTCAGCATCACGCCGGCTGCCTTTACTTCCCAGGACTGCACACAGTACCCACTCAAGACTGTGTCAACTTGGGAGCGAAGGCAATTTTTGTTTTAAGTCCCACTCCGCTGGGGAGCGAATCCACAATCTTTCGATCTACGGTGAGCATCTAGCCACTCTGCCACAGCGACTCCAAAACTGAACATTAAATGGAATGAATTTAAGAAAGGTGAAGAAGTAAGATAAATGCCTTGACAACCAGTGGTATGAAGAACTAGTTATAAAACAAAGAAGATTGTGATATATTATGCACATCCTGAATAAACAGAGAATGACTAAACAAGTACATAAATGGGAAACAAATGGACTAATGAGACAAGGATTTCCATGACAAACCCCAAAACAAACAGTGATAAAAGAGGTTAAAGGTGCTGGAATAGAATCCATTATGTGATACAGAAACAATCACACAGGATAGAATGGAATGGAAAATAGACAGTGAGCCCTATGTTTTGTAAAACAACACAAAAGGATGATGATAACAATGATTAATAACACACTGTAACAGATGACAGCACTGATCTTTTAGCATGTGGTAGAGAAGAACTTACATGGTACAGAAACGTTGACAATGAATAATTAGAAAGTCAAACTGAGGGGCTGGGGATGTGGTTATACAGAAGAATAGGTCATATTTCATAGAAACAAATACATTTTATACAGAGTTCAATTAAATAAAATAAAACAATTTATACAAAGCAAATGCTACCTTAAACTCAAAAGCTGTAAGAAATTAACAAATTTCAAACAATGACCGAGAATATTATGAGAACTCATCTTATTGTAATTTAGTGTATGTTCACAAGAAGAAATATCAAAACAAGCAGACTTTTGCTGACGGACAAGAAGAAAAGGACAGTAACTCTGGCAAACAGTGTATTTCCATCAAACCTTCTCATAGCTTCAACTGTCTCAAAAACATGTTTCCAAATTTGAAACCAAATTTAATTTTTGCTGTTTACCTCATGCTGAATCCTAACCACAGCACTTGAACTCTCTATGCAAAATGATGGGCTACTTATCTGCTGACTGAGCAGTGTTTCAATCTGGCCAAATCAAAGGCAAATGGTGTTTGGATGACAGGCTTTGCATCATGGATAGCATTTTTATCTTAATCATCATATCATGAGTCTCATTATTTATGGTAGATTGCATTTTTTTTTCTATTTCAGTATTGGCTATTTATGCCTGTCAACTACTTTTTGTTATTCAATACTTCATAGATTATGCACTAAATTCAAACAGATTATAGAGGTATATTTTGTTAGGTTTAATATATTTTCTATTTCAAGTCTTCTTTAAAAAAAAAATTATAATCATGTGCATAATTTATTTTTGAGGATACTATAATTCTATCTTATTATATATTAAACTTTTGTTCTCAAACTTTTGTTCTACTGATGTACCATTTAATCTGTCCCTGTTATTCATTTACAACAGTTTATGATTCAACTGACAAATTATATTTACCTGAGGACAGCGTAGCTGTAATTGTAGCGAACCCTGTCTTGACCAGATCACCTTTCCTGTCCCTTGTAGTCACAGTGACAGAAGATGCTTTCCCAACCACACAGCCAGTGAAGGCTTCACCCCCAACTGTGGTCTGGTAAGGAACAGCTGTGTTGTTACACACATACCCCACACTGTTGATTTCTTCCCGAATACTTTCAAAGTCTTTCTCATCAAAGAAAACCAGCGGGTTAGTCTCTGGCTGCAGTACCAAGCCACAGGTCAGCAGATCGTTTAACTGATGAGATGGAAGATTACATTTTGTAAGAAAATAAAGACTGTCAAAGTAAGGAGATAATATGCAGGATATTCTAATGAGCTTAGTCAATCTACAATAAAAGAAATAACTGGACAGATCAACAAAGGAAAGGAAAGACTCTTTCAGATACAGAGGACGATTCTGACTAAGATCCTTATTAACAAACAAAATACTTTGGTCAAAATATTTGCTTAAATCTGTGTGTTTCTTTGGGAGTTAGCCTAAAAACACTTGGAGACATACTCAGGAGTAGATCAGAGCACTTATAATCATGTCCAATGTGCAATGAAGATGATCTCAATAATAAACAATGTGTGTTTCTTACTTTACATTGATTGAGTTGAGCTTTTTCATCATATTTTGAATCCATTTAATCTCAGTCAGTCCTATTCTTTGCAATAACATTTATCGTATATAAATCTTGTACTAACTACTAGGGCTGTACCGAATATTCGCTTCTCATTCGCTTCGGGGCCGAATAGTGGAACTATTGACTATTCAGTATTCGGCCGAATAGTTGCGGTCGGGCCGAATACGAATAGTAGTTACCTTACACCTGCTTTTGCATACACAGCCCTAATTCTGACAACATGGAACGATTGGTTTTGCTGAAAGCTAATACAGCTTTCCTGCATCAACTAAGCTGTCAGTGACAATTTCCAAGTTTAGTTACTTGTTATAATACTTAGGATTCTTTCATTCCTAGTTATTGGTTACCACAGACTGACTGAAGGATGCAAAACATAAAATATTTTTTTAATGTTTACTATTCTGTACGAATACTAACTAGACATGGAAAGAAACTTAACTCCGACCACATCCAAGTCGATAAAATGAAAATCAAACGAAAGGAAACATATAAGTACTTGGGTGCAAACTTCAACTGCTCCAACATGCTGAGAGAAGAAATACAATCTAGAATACAATCTACAAATAAAGTATACTATGCCCTTCAACATCTGCTAAAGTCAAAGTGTCTTGTCTCGCAACACCAAGATCAAAATATATAAAACGTTGATAAGACCAGTCGCGTTATTTGGCTCTGAAACTTGAAGCAGAAATAAAAGAGATGAGGCCTTATTACAGGTTTTCAAAAACAGTCTTACGACAAATCTTTGGACCCGTCAAAGATGCTAACAGCGGGGAATGGGGAGTGAGAAGCAACAACGTAACACATAATCTGTTATAATCACCGTTGATCAATGGCATCATGAGAGCTAACAGACTAAAATGGTAAGTGCATATTGAAAGAATGTCAGATGACAGAGAAGTAAAAACTGTATACACCTGAGAGAGGATGAGCGTAGACCACGAGGCAGACAAAAAAGAAGATCGAGAGATAATGTCCAGCCAGACCTGCAAACAACTGGTGTCACAAATTGTGAAGATAAGGCCAGCCAGAGAGATGAATGAAGACGAGTGATATCTGCAGCAGTAAATCTCAAGTGCTCAGAATGCTTAAGAAGAAGATGACTATTCTGTGCTACTTTATGTGAAGTAAAAGTTCAGCGTACATTTGACATTATAAATGTTTTTTCTTTTTTTAGATAAATTTGAAACACTTTTCGTATTCGTATTCGGCCGAATAGCTGGTCCTGTTATTCGTATTCGGCCGAATAGTGAAAATCACTATTCGGTACAGCCCTACTAACTACCTTCTTCTGTTTCTACAATTTCTCTTTAAAATTTGATTGGTATGTTGTGTTGTGGTTTACAGCTAGGCTGTAATATCTGAATTTGTCGGCCCAACACATGATTTCAGCAAAGAAATAATTAGTTGCCCTTTATAACATGCTCATCAGGGGCAGTGGGTCTATTCTTGTTATTTTTTATTTTTGCCCTGACACCCATAAGGGAAAGCAGTGTATGATTTTGGTGTATCAAAGTCATAGTGATTTTAGGTTTTCCTCCCACTATTTTCAATGCAGGGAGTGTTACCTATGATACTTAAATTTTAGATCAAAGTAGTCTCTTGGCAGTTACTGTCCCTGGGGTAAGAAGTATTCATCATCAATCAGCAAGTCCTTTATGGAATGTCAGTCTTGTTACAGCATACTTGAAAGTCTCCAGTTCTCTAGTCAATTTTCCAGCCCCCTGTGCTGAAATGCATTTTCAATTTCCTATAACTGTGTTTGGGGAGGTCTTCCTCTGCCTCATTTTCCAGAAACTGTACAGTATGAAATTTTGAGCTTCCACACAATCTAGGTCATTATAAATAACGCACGGTGGCCAGCACCCTTTCTCGTCAATTTCCCTCTAAATTTCTAGAATATTCATAAATAAGAGTGACTGCAGTTGAGCTGATAAAATGTACTAAATATAACAACTGAGACTAGAAAGCTCAACCGGCTGGAGTGGAAAGACGTCAACAGAGCTTATAAACAATCAAAGTAAACATAAAACCAGAAATACGTAATAGGAGAAAATTTTAACATAAAGGGCTACATTATTAAATAAAACAAATAAGGTATGTGGAGAAAACAGGGGCAGAAATATAAACAAAGTTACAAAATGTAATTCAGATGAGTATTGATCTTTTCAGGACTGGAAATGCAAAACTCGATGAAACAATTTTCTAATCAGTTGTGGCTGGTATGATCCCTAAAGCATGATTTTATGGCAGTACTTAGCTATCCTTGGTAGTCAGAATTAATAAAATGACAGAGTTTCACTGTGCAGATGCTTAAGATGTTCACAGAACCAGTGCTAACTACCTATTGGTTTCCTTAATATACAATATTTGAATTTATTTGCAGATGATAGCATGAATAAAATTGTGTGATTTACCAGTAAAGGCTTCCATGATTTGAAATAATCCCTATCTATTTTAAAGACACTGGACAGACCCCTGTGCCACACTAGTCAGAATAAATAATATTATGTCTGCTGGAAACTGAACCCAAACCCTCGTTTTGGCAGGAAATCAAACTATGCCTTTTTAGCTCGTAAACTTGGTGAAGGTGGTCAGAACTAAACACTTATAATGCTAAACTTACTTTTCCAGTCATTTCTTTCTTAACCATCACAATATCTGTGTTTGTCCCACTCT